GGCCCGGGCCACCCCCGTTATTTTGTGTAAAAAAAAAAAAAAAATAGCAGAAGGAAGAAAAGCCAGCAGGACAAGCAAAAAAATTATTCAGCTATCTTTACCACACGCTTGGTTAATAAGCCATCTCAGTATTTCATCCGCTGATACGTCAAGAGAAGGTCTTAATATAAAGATGAACAGGTGGCTCTTAAAGGACATTATATTTCAGAAATTATAATTTCACATCAGTACTTAGAAGTTTCTCGAACTGACAGCTTGTTGATTATGGAAACCTGGTTTTGGATTCTTGGCTGGTCTCTTTCCATAATAACGATGGCTGGAAATGGATTTATTATCTTCCTTGTTTGCAGCAAACGGCAGCTTCGCACCAAAACCAACGCTTTTGTGATTTCACTGGCAGTGGCGGACTTCTGTGTCGGGATAAGCGTTGTTCCACCAATGTTCTTCTGTGAGATGGCAACTGGGTGTAACACACAACTTCACTGGATAAGTTCTCTAAGGTTGATGTTCAGTTACGTGTCAGTGATGAACCTGTGCAGCTTAGTGGTGGATAGATACATTGCAGTTGTCAAGCCTCTGAAGTATTTGACTTTTATGACGCGCCGCCGTGTTATTGAAATGGTTTCCTTATCTTGGGGCATCCCAATTGCCTTTAGAATTTTTATCTCACTGAACTGGTTTATTTTAAAAAGACCTCATTTCTGGGACTTTCTGTTTTGGGCGACGGTGATATTTTTTGAGCTTCTTCCCTGTTTTATTTTGACAATGAACTTCGTATTCATGCTTCAAGTTGTTTGCAAGCACGAGCGTGCCGCCCGCTCCAGAGAAAAACAGTTACGTTACAACCATCATCGTATTTCTTTTAAAGCTCAGGAGAAATCCGCGGTCAAAATAATGGCAGTTGTTATAGGCTTATTTCTACTGTGTTACGGAGTTTACATCCGCTGTTCCTTGTTATATGTTTTCAGGAAAGTATTATGTAATGACAAAGAATATAAAATACCTCTTCTAGTTTTAAACTCCGCCATTAATCCTTTAGCTTATGCTTTCTTCAAGAGAGACATCAAGAAGGAGATTAAACGACGTCTATGGTGTACTATCGTAAAAGAGCAAAACAAAATTGAACCTGTTGATAATGGTAATTGCCAACCCATTTATATCTCGTGAAGAGTTTCTTTTTTCAGCCCGAAGCCAGAATTACTATATTTCTTATAAGTTCAAGTTAAACAGGACAAAGAATAAAATGTTTTTTCTTCTCGGTTTGTCTTTTAGTGAATGTACCCGAGACGCAAAGAATAAAATTGAACTGGGATTATCATGATGTGAGCGAATCGTAGCAGAAAACGTTGACGAACTTTAAAGAAGATTGAGAAATTCGTCTTTTACTGATTTTAGTTAAACTAAAGACTGTCTTTAAAATTAACTAAACTACAAAGACACTGAACAGAGGCTCGTCCGTGGTGAGGATATTGCGTACACATGCAGCGATGTTTTTTTCCGGCGATCTTCCAAAATAGAAAAAAAGATATATGTTTTGTAGCAAGGTGGGTTTTTCAGTAGCTCGTTGGGACCGTCTGGTCGATATGACAAGTATATCAATATATTTGTCTTTCCCTCGAAGTTTTAGCCGATTATGTGCAATCACACAGAGAGATCGTATTTCATTTGGGTAAACACGGCAAGTTTATCGGGGATATGTGCTGATGAAACATGCTTCAAATATAACTTATACCAGCACTGTGAGTTTTTTTAGTTTTTTGTTATCATTAAACTGGCTTGTTTCGTGTTCGCTATTCATTACTTTTTACAATTGCTAGGCCATTCGGACCACAAACTTCAAAAAAATACTTAGAGCGAGGACATATATGCAAAACAGTTCCTTTCCAGGTGGTCGACTGCCGTTTGATTGGTCAAGGAGATTGGAAATCCAATATTGAGACATTAACATGGGAAACGACAATTCTGTGTATCAAGTGACTATCGTTTTCGGTTGCTAAACAACTGTTTTGAATTTGCAGGCACCTGCTGTTACGGTTGTATTTGCGCTTTA